CTTTGAAGTGGGAAATTTATGGCTTCAGTCTCTATGTGGAAATGGTGACAGTGATACTTACCATCAGATCACTGCTGGGATTAAATGAGGCAGGTGCTGGGACTTCCTGGGCTCTCCAATTGTGGCTAATGTTGATAAGCCTTCTACTTATACTCATATGCTTCCTTCCCACCACTTCTTCCATGAATTTTTAAGGATGATTTGCTCCAACATAGCTTTTCACCAGGTGTTCTAGGACACAGGGCCATCTTAATATTTTTGCCATGTTTTGGTCATAAGCCTTTTATGTAAAGGTGATACAGATTTATGACTTTCTATTAGTGTGAGTGCATGGGCATCCTTGTATTTGCCAGTCTGTGTATTTGACAGGAGAAAGCCTATAGTTTTTAGACCAATAGTTTAAGGCTTGCCTTCTTCTTAGCAAAATACATTGTGTGTGTGTGTGTGTGTGTGTGTGTGTGTGTGTGTGTGTGTGTGTGTGTTTTGAGATTAGTCTTAATCTCCTATTGATTTTCTCCTGGTTAAGATTATTGTGGCTGCATGATTATTGAAGACGAGGAGGCACCAATTTCAATAACCCTGGATGACACCAAGCCAGATGGATCACGACCTGCCATAATGGGGTAAGTTAGAGCTGAATGCTCTAAATTTTCCAAATCATGTTGGTGTATTAGTATGGATGCTAGCAAAGTATACTGTTTTAGAATTGAACTCAAGCAATGATAAATAACCCTCTGTAATATGTAATATTTCTATCTATTAAAATACAATAGTAATATTTTGCATGTGGCATAGGAACACGCTATTAAAATACTATAGTAATATTTTGCATGTGGCATAGGAACACTGGGAAAGTTGGCTAAAAATTGACACTATTTTGAACTGGTATTCATATTTTCTTCTTCTGTAAAACTTACATGTTGAGGATAAAGTGGAAAAAGTAGCTGGGTGGGTACTATGCTAGTGAGCTCTGCCTCAAGGCAGAATATCCATGGCCATTCTGGAACAGTTTTATCCTGTAAAACTTCCAAATTCAGGGTTTCTGGACTTTATCCTTGTTTCCATTCCAAGCTCTACCCCTAAGCTGACTGACAGTTTGGAGTTGAGCCAGACGTTGAGTGGATGGCATAGCACCTTTTGTAGTTAGACACTCCATAGTTGTCCTTCACCAGCGGGACTTCATGTACCCTCAGAAGTGCCTCACTGGTCCAGGGCATTGTTCTATGGACAAAATAGAAGAGCTTTTCACTTCTCCTTACCTCCCTGCACACATACTGCCCTGTTTGTTTGGGGGTAGGTTCAGCGAAGGAAGTGGGACCTCCACATAGGAATTTTTAAGGGATGCCACAACCTCCCACTTGCCTGCCTTTTGGCACTCCTCAAAAAGCTATGCAAGCAAAGAGCTATTTGTTCTACTATACCAGAACAAAAGATGACAGCTTTACTAGCAGCAGGATGATTTTTAGAAGTCATGGTTTTCCCTTCGCCCTTGGGAAATGCATACTTCCCTGCCTAAAGGAAGAGATGAACTCATGTTTGTCATGCCAAAGAAGGATAATTATAAGGAGAAAAGGGGCAGACTCATGTCTCAAGGGATTTAAAAAGCTAGCTATGCTACTGGGTCACTAACATATTTTGTAACCACTTCTTCAGTTGTCAAATATATGAAATAACACCAGTCTCCCTGAGAAGGGCAGGTTCTTGCAACATAATGACCATGGGAACAACATGTCCTCTTCATCTCTAACCCCATTGGACAAGAAGGGAGACAAGTTGTTTTGGCAGTTTGATATCAACTGTATGCCAGAGAAAACAGGAGGTTAGAGTACAGGTTTCAGGAGAATGTCAGTTAAGACTAAATGGAAGAATATTGACCTTCTTGTCCTGAGAGTTAGATAGAGTAATATCTGCCCTTCTGGGCCTTCTCTGGCTTTACTAACTAGATCCTAAAGGACTGGACCTTTCCATATGTTAACGGGGTTATTTAGCAGTTACCAAGATTTGATATTCTAATCTGTTTTATCTGAACAGTTGCCTCCACCCTGCTCTTTGCTCCTAGCCCTGAAAGCCTTGGAGATAGGGGTGGTAATTTCCCAGCCCAGTGTTTAATAACCAGCACCTTTTGGAAACTGGAAAGGACCTTGTACTTTAGAACTGAGAAATGTCCCCAACACAAAGCCAGTGTGTTTTATTTCCTCAATAAAACAGCAAAGAAAGTTAAAGGATATTTGTCCATAGTTAGAATTAGATCAAAGAGGTTATATGACTTGTGGTTTGACAGAAATAGCCAACACTAACTGCCCTTTGGAAATGGAACTGTAAGAAGTGTACAAGATGAGTTGACTTAAAAAGGTTTTCAGATAAATTTTTTAATCTTTTATCAGATATTGGTGATTTTCTTTTAAATGCTTTCTTTTAAAATACAAATATTTTAAATAATTGAATAAGTCTAAATTTACTGATTCTGTTTAAATCTAAAAGTTAACTAAAATCACTAATAGTGAGCTATAACTTATTGTTAAATTATGCAAAATTATAACTATATACCTTAAAGTTCAAATCTCTTAAATAGTCTGTAGCTTTCTCTGAAATATTATTCTTTGGACTAACACATTTTGTGTCTTTGCTTCCCAGAATGATCTCAAATTACAGCCCTAAAAGAATTGCCCATCAAATTGAGGAACAGTCTTA